TCGCTGACCTCCGATAAGGCAGCCGGGGTGGACAAGCAGCTCGCTGCCAGCCCTCTCCTGGTTTTCTCTGGTCTCCCGTCCGTGGGTTATTCTGGGTGGGAGAAGCCGTGCTTCACCCCACGGAGCTGTTGCCCGGCCACTGCCTGCGGTGATGGGCAGCAGCTGGGGACACACCGCTCGGCGGAGATGGTCTCGCTGGGGTTTCTCATTACTGACCACTTCCTTCTCGCCTTCTCGGCTGGAACTCCAGAAAACCCTGCTGAAAATACAGCTGTGCTCATGTACACCGTGAATTTAACCACAGGCAGAAACAGGAGGCAGAGGCACAAGCGGGTGGGGTGGGGTGGAAGCATCCCATGGGCAGGGGCTGCCTTTGCTCCTCTGTGTCCTGTTACGGGGTGCAAAGGCATGGGGTGCTGGGGCACTGGGCTCCCCATCGCAGGACTCGGCGATCTACCAGCTCCATCAGCTTCCAGAAGCTGGCCCAGACTCATGGAAAGCCCCTCACTCCGTATCTGACCATGCGGTGCTGATCTGCTGCCTGGGCAGTGCCTGTTACTGGGGCACCGCATCCAGGACTGGAGCCATGCCCAGCACCAGCTGCTCCAGCACCGTGCCGGAGAACATCGCTCCTGGCTTCCTCAGCAGCCACCATCCCTTCTGAGCCGTGACAGCTGAGCAGCGAGATATGACCTCCCAAAAAAACACATCCAGAGGCAGCACGAGCTGCTCCTGAAGTTTGCAAAGTGTCTCACCGAGGCACAGCTCAGCGCTGCAGCGGAGCCGTGTCCGGCAGCCGAGCTGGGGAGCGCTCGGCCGGTGGGAAAGGTTCACGTGCTCGTTTGGGTTCCCCCTCACACCATCACTTTAAGGCCCCAAACACAAGGCTTGCCAGTGAAAGAAAAATGAATGTTTGTAAAAGACGCTGCAAAACTTGGCAGAACATTAGGACCTTTTTTTGTTCAGGAGCGCCCAGCTCACACCCTTTCAGCAGAGGAGCTCCGTCCCTCCCGGGCAGCTGCGTGTCCCACGGCCCAGGCTGCAGACAGCAGCGCGAGGGGAGCGCGTTACTTGTGCAGAGCCCAGAGTTTCTCCTGTACTAACTGCTGGTGGTTTTTTCCAGGAGCTGAGGTCCAGCTCCCTCCTCTGCCCTCGTCCCTGTCCCTCCCCTGGTCCCTGCATCTGCTGCTCCCCAGCTCTCCCCCACCAGCACATGGTGGGAAGCAGCAGCAAACACACCATTTTCCAGCGTTCTGTCCCAAACTGCCCTTTCCCGACTGTTGGAGGCTGCCCAGCCCGCAGGGCCTGGGCTCAGGCAAGGGCTGGCCGGCATTTCCAGCTCAGCTCATGGCTCTGCCTGAGCCCCCGCACTGGCTGGGACCTGGGGGACCACCCCTC